AGTAAACTTCAGTTTAAAATTGACAATTACACATGAAACAAATGAATAGTCTACATTCATAATGAGTAAAAAATGCTGAATTACACAAATTTGTTCTTCGAAACGACAATTGCTGCTAACATAATCGCTGGATATTACATTTGAATAAGTCGCTGTATTGTTACTTTTCTTCATTTCATGGGAGAAATTTTGATTCGTTATTTCATACTTGTGTAGTGTCTTTCTCAGATCACTTCTGGAATAACAATCTAATATTATTCTTCAGGAAAGCATTTATAACATATTTTACATTCGTGGAGTTTTTCTGCCATATAAATCGATTTAAACTGCACGAAGGACGAAACATTATTATGTTATGCATTTATGATTTTTCTTTTCTGTGGGTTTTAAGATGACGTTTCAAACTGCTCAATTGAGCAAAACATTTATTACATGTTTTACATTCGTATGGTTTTTCTCCAGTGTGGGTTTTAAAATGACGTTTCAATGTGCTCGAGCGAGTAAAACATTTTTCACATGTTTTACATTCGTATGGTTTTTCTCCAGTGTGGGTTCTAAGATGATGCTTCAATGTGCTCAAGCGAGTAAAACATGTTTTACATGTTTCACATTTGTATGGATTTACTCCCGTGTGGATTATGAGATGATTATTTAATGTGCTCAATTGAGCAAAACATTTATTACATATGAAACACTCGTATGGTTTTTCTCCCGTGTGGGTTCTAAGATGATGTTTCAAAGTGGTCGATTGAGCAAAACATCTTTTACATGTTTCACATTTGTAAGGTTTTTCTCCTGTATGGATTCTCATATGACAACTTAAACTCTGTTTTCTATTGAACGACTTATCACAAATCTTGCATTCGTAGGTCATTGTACTATCTTTTTCTATGTCTATCAACACCTACAAAAGGAAACACTGTGATTTAGAAATATTTATTTATATTGCAATTTTTCCTTAAATTACAGTTTATAACTACATATCCTAATAGTAATTTACACGTTTCAGCATAAAATTTTTCATGTAGAACATTCCTAACATCAGGATATATTTTTCAAATATACACATATATTAATCGTCATATTCAACACTTTAGTTTTATTTGTGTATAAAAGTAAGTTTGAAAGTAGACGTATATTATGCTGCAGTACAGGGTAGGACAAAAGTCACTTTACCATAGAAAGAGTTTGCTATTGCGAAGAAAAAAACAAAAGTAATTTTAAATATAATTTTTTAATGTGTATATAAAAAAATTTCTATGATGTGTACATTAAAATGTTATAAAGAAACTTAGGAAATAATTAAACATTAAGAAGTTATTTCATTTTTACATGGAAAAGTGACTTTCGGCCCATCTTATATAGTCTGAAACTGCTGCCATGTCAATTTTTACCAAAATTACTGAAATAGAAAATTGCTCCTTAAATTTGTGTCATTTTAGAGTTTTGTTTGTAGCGCCATTTATTATGTAATGATATATTTTTATAACTAAATTAGCTTATTGGCATAGTTTGGTTTATTTGTTAGGGCTACAAAGTTTTCTGAGTATCACAGCTTTATAACTACCACCCTGTAATTTACCTTCATTTTTAATTTTAGTTTATAGATATTCGTGTAACACTTCATACAGAAAATTCTTCACTAATCAGAATTACTAGATTACCTTAGCATGTAACGAAATCATTTAAATTATTCTTCATATAACTAAAAATATAAATTTTTAAATGCAATTGTTTACATTATTGTATTAATAGAGCAAACTGCGGCCGATAATTAATTCAAAANAAATCATTTAAATTATTCTTCATATAACTAAAAATATAAATTTTTAAATGCAATTGTTTACATTATTGTATTAATAGAGCAAACTGCGGCCGATAATTAATTCAAAATAAGAATACTTATCAGGCATTGTATCCAACTACATCTATCTAAATTTAGAAATTAGCATTGTAAATATTGAATTCACGTTAACAAAATCGACATCAAATTAAAATTTAATATCGAAATAAGTAATAAAAAATTTAGGCGTTCTCCGAGGGTTTAATTTCGTTTTTCTAAGATACTATTCATTTAATAATTGTAATTTCACTTATAACAATACAAACTTTTAATTATAAAAGATATTCTAATTTTAAAATGTTTGAGATACTTACAGAATAAAAACTACTTTTAATTTCTTTCGATTGATACCAACAATTTTCTTTGTCTTCCCGCACGTACAAGCAAACACACACGTTGATTATTTAACGTAATTTGCATAAAGAAAAGTTTTATTTTAATTTTTGATAACTTTAAATGTGATTAAAATGATTATTTTTATATATAATTTTATGCTATATAGATTAATTTTTGTAATTATATTTATATACTGGTAATTTAGTTTTTGTTATTCAATGGAAAAAGTGTTTCAGGAAAACATGTTTTTCATCCACACTAGATAAATGAATTTTTTTTATTTGGTTTAATATTTTTAATGCATATAATTACAATGCAATTTAACATATTTTATATAAATCATAAAATAAAAAAATTTAAGATAAGATTATATAACTATCTGGAATAATCTTTGTAGTGTATGTTATTAAATCTATATCAAAGATATTCTTCAATGACAGAAAAAAACAAAATGACTTTATTGCAAAGTTCATACAATTTGTTTAACTTAATATAAGTAAAAGGCAAACTTTATTAAAATACAGTAGAAGTTCGTTTATTTGTCACTCAGTAGAAAGGTTCAGGCGCAAGTTCAAACGTTAAACTTGTATTGCAAGCAGAAGTACACGTTCGCCGTTTCAAGTCCAAGTAAAAATCGTTGAGGCGCCTGTTAAAAACATTACGTGACTCAGTGAACGTCGCGCATTGACTTACAGGAAATAATTTGAAAAAAATGGCGGAAACTTTTTGCACGGAGGATTATCAGCAAAGTTAAGTTAACAAATTAAACTGTTTAAAAGTATTTATAGGATGTTTAATAACACTAAATAATTATTTTTTTACTATAATTTGCGTCGAGTTTACTCTAAGGAACAGTAAAAAATTTTAAATGCGTTTTTCTTGTTATCACGACATACTTCTGTTGAGAGAGGTAGTGAATGTAAATTCCAATGCTTATGAAAATCCGAAATGTGTTTGAAAAAGTAAATATGAAAATTTTTGGACGTATTACCTTGTCTTTGGTAGAATATACCGGGAAAAAAGATCTACAGTATTATGACATGGTAGTAGATGGTCATCTTGCCTCTCAGATATATAGTATGCTACAAAATTATAAAAAAACTACAAATTTGTGATTTTTCAAAATTTATTCGTAGAAAATACTTTTATACGTTTAAAGACAATTACAAAAATATCATTTTCAAGCTTTTTATCTTTCAATAATAATATAATAAAAGTTATCGCTTTTTACTTGTTACCAATGTATACGTACACTTTCTAAAATTATAAAAATAAATATTACATATATTTTAAACACTTTCAATATTTGGTTTTACCCGCTTCGACTACAATTATTTGAAAAAAATTTTGTTAGCATGGAGTTTATTACTTTTTTAATTGTTTATTTTTAAGTTTATTCCATGTATCCATTATTACAATTCTCAATTAATTTACAGATTCATATTGTTTCTTATTTTGATAAACAATGGCTGCTAAAATCTCCATAAATTTTCAATAGGATCTAAATCTGGATAACACGAAGGCCAGTTAATATTACATCAATATTTTCTTTTTTAAAACCAATTTTTTGTTTACATTGAGACACGAATGAGAATATTATCTTGTTGAAACTACCATTCATGTCTTCCAATTAATGCATTAAATGTAATCATATCTTTGTCAACAAATACTAAATTAGTTTTTCTTTTCCATCCATTCCATTTTCCTCCAAAACTACCCTAAATCATTATAGATTAATGGCTTATTTTAACTCTGCTTTTTCTTCTTAAATCATACCAATAATATGTAAACGCATCAGGGCCATATAAATTAAACTTTTTATCACTAAACCTTATTTCTTGCCATTATTCATTTAAATTCATTGATATGTGTTTGGCAGTTAAAGCTAGTTTCAACTTTATTGTTACATATTGTACATTGTTATAGTTTTTTAATGTTCTCCAAAGAGTTGCATGAGATACATCTATTGGTATTTCAGCGGCATCTTGCCTTGTTGACATTTTTTTTATTTATAAGCTTCAAAACTTCTTTGAAAATTCCTGGATGTTAAACATGATATATGTTAAATATATTAAAAAATTTATTCTATTTTATAAAATGTAATAAAAACCTGATAAAATAATTGAAATAATGATAAAGAATAATTAATATTTCTAGTAATAGTATCAAAATAAAATTTAAAAAACAAAATATATGATGTTTTTATACTTTGGTAACAGACTGCAGAACCAACCCTATTTTTAAAAGTATAAAATAAAGATATTGCGGTTTTCTAAATTTAGTCTTCGTATCTACAAAAATAAATACTTATTTTTACAAAACTGAGTGATATTTATAAAAATTATGTTTGATTAGAAAACGTAATATAAATTACAGACAAATTTTTTATTCATTTTGATTAAAAAAATAATTTTCTGATAGTGAAACACTAGTTTTAGAAAGTGTTCATTTGATTGAAGTAAAACTAAATTGGGCGTAAAGAATTACAAACGCAAATCATTTAATTTCATAAAATTTAAAATCATTTTCATAAAAAATGAATTGCGTATTTAAAAGGTAATCGTAGTTTTTCTGAAAATGCAACTTAAACTCTAGAAACAAATTCTACAGTGAGAAAATGTTCAGATGAAAAAATTTTATTGCAGAAAAGTAACTTTATTTAGAAAATAAAAGTTACATTCTAAAAAGTGACACTTATAGGAAAATATAATATATCATTCTAAAAAAATATACAACTTATCTTCACTTTAAGTAAATATAATTACAAAACTGCTTTATTTACTTTCAAAAAATATTAATTTGATTTAAGGAATGTCGCGTTTTATTTAATTTACGTCTTATTAAACTTGAAAAATAGTAACTTTAATTCCAGAAAATAAAAAAAAAATCTTTACTTACTGTAAAGAAATCAGAAAATAGCTAATTACAAAAATGATAATTATTTCTACTAGTTATGAACCAAAAGTTTTTGGGATTAACTGTTAGATCATCCAGTGCTTATCTTGTTACTAGTTAATTCTATCTAGCGGTTGTGTTTTATGGCTTTTTAGAGTCTTGCACCTAATAGTTTTAACACTTTTTGTTATTGTACGAGTATCTGTTTAACCAGATGATAGACTGCTCTTCAGCAAATTCTGCTGCCTCTCACAGTTAATAATATAATGTATTTTAAAGTGTTTTTTTTTTTTATATTTTCTGTAAATTGTTCTTGGAATGAACTGTAGCAGATGAGCACAGTTAGATTGCTAACCGAAAATATGACGGATTTTGTATAGATTGTGCTTTGAAAACTTACAATACAAGTTGCAAATGTACTGATTTGAGGTAAAGAGGTACAATTTTCATATCCATTCGGAATATATTTGCATTTTGAAGTTAAAAATTCTAGAAATAGTTTTACACGTACTACTATTTTTTTCAATAAGTGACTACATCTTAATTACTTGATACAATTGTAGACAATACATTTACAAATATTTAGGTAAATATTTTATGTTTCCAAAGGAAAACACTACTTATCTATTTCAAAGTACTGTTAAACACATTTTTACTGCTAAGATTTGCATTGCATAATTTTTCTTTATTCATCACACCACTCACTTGAATCAACGAAGACAATGTCGAGTAAAGTCCGCTAATCACCTAATAAGTAAAGCAATTTTTATATATGTGTTTAAATTCACAATGATATTTTATAATATTACTCACCCTTATTACGAAATTTCTTTTGACGTAAAAGAAGCCTCCTACCGTAATTCCTAATGGATTTCTTCCATATCTTTTCATAAAATTGAGTATCTAAAATGAAAAATTTCATGATCATAATTAAAATAATTTGTAATGAAAATATTTTACTTTGGATCATAATTAAAAATGCTAATGTAGCTACTTGCGCTCCTACCCAAAACTCTGAAGAATATTAACTTAATTTTGATACCTTATGCAAAACCTTTTCAGTAAACAAATTTAAATTCAAAAATTATAAAAATAAACTTACCTTTAATAGGAATAATGGTGATAAATCTGCAGGAAATACTTTTTCAATAGAAATAAAATCGTCGTACAACTAAATAAATAAATTTGATGTTAAAATCAGAAACATGTGATTTAACAAAGTAAATGAAGCGAAATTATAAAAAATCGTGCTATTTAATTATATTTATCTCAAAACAAAATGAAAATTAGTAATTATCACATTTCACATATCGTTTTATAATTTTTAAATTATTTATAAAAACTATGCTTATTTAAAAACTTATATCACATTTTCTACATTAAAAAATAAGATAGTAAACTTTAAAATGTATATTGATTTCGACTATTTAAGATTACAATATGTATTATTTATTATAAAATAATATATAAAAGTATGTGATACTTTAAATTTGTACTAACCAACGAAGTAAAAGCAGACAATTTCCAACACACTGCAACAAATGAAAACAACGAAACTACAGAAACACACGAGATGACAATACGTAAATAGAATTCCATCTTCACAAACAATCCAGCATACAACACGAAAGAAGTGATGTAAACCAAATGAGTGTAAACAAAAGGAGAAAGAATTTTCCATTTTTCGTTAAAAGCTTCGAAAAATTCCCAAATTTCTACGTGTTTTTCGATCATTTCTACTACTTTTTCCTTTAGTGATATGCTTCTTACTTTTAGTTCACTTAACTCTTCAGAAAGTCTAATACATCTTTCACCAATCAGCAGTAATGTGACTCTAAATATTAAAAGTAAGGAGAAAATTTGACCAACACAATAAATCATCGATACTGTATGAAACACGGTAGAAATAAATGCTTCTGTGTCTGTACCGTTTTGTCGTTTAATTTCACGAAATAAAGAAAAGTACGATACGATGGAAAACACAGTAAATATTCCCATCATTATAAAGAAATCTACTAATAAATATTTATGCATCGCGCTGACATTCTGCAGTTCTTCATAGTAACTGCTTTTCACACAATGAAATGAAAGTTTATTCCGTTTTAATAGTGTAAATTGTCCGGCAACATACTCGATAAAAATAAATGTTATTACTGCTGCTGGTAATGCATAGTCATTGAAGATATGAAGTACTCGTAAAGCGTAAATATCGGGTACGTTAATTCTTATGAAGCACACAAATACTACAGTCCAAAGAAATATTTCAACTAAACTATTATAAATATTATATAAAAATGATAAAATGTTCGTTCTTCGTTCTTCTGTTTCCTGCTTGATGCACTGACAAGGGATGCAGATGTCTAAACCGAATAATTTTGCTGAATTTAATATTGGGAATAAGATATACGCCAAGCAAAAAGATTTATCTGAAGACGATGACATGTTAGATTATATTATTGATTGCTGTTATTACTTCTTCGGTTCTTCTGTGAAAATAATGGAGTATATTCGTGCTGACGTTTATAAATTTCCTATCTTTATTTTGCAATGAACGTAAAGATAAAACGCTTTTACTTAGTTATTATCTAATTACATGATATTGACTTACTTTAAAAGCCTTTAATGGACTTATCCACTTACTATGAAAGTTTATAATGATTATAGGTGTGTAATATACTAATGCATTTTTTCTCTGCACAGACTCGAAAGACTAAATTTAATGGATAATAAATTTTAGTAACGTTAAAATTGTTCATCATTTAGTGCTATTAATAGAAAATGCGTATTTTATATAATCTTAATTATATTTATACACGCAAGTCATGGATAATAATCTTTTAGAATGCTAAAATTAGTACACAACATTTTTTTTAAAAGATTAAGCCATTTCCATTTTAGAATAGTTACAATAACACACTACTCGCATTTTCTCGATTATAATGCACACTTTCTTTTTTCCGACTTAATTAATTCGACTCGGTTCTTTTCGTTCTTTCCTCAGTTACGTGTACTACGTCATCGATATACAAGTCGATATACAAGCGCGTCGTATCTCTACATCAATTTGGTTGTGATATTCGTTAGTTTAATCTTATTTTAACTCTAAAAATACTGTATTATTAAAATATTAATATTTTTTTAATTAATTAAGTACAATAAGAAAAATTATTAATTAATAGTAAAACGATTTTATTTTTTTTTCATTATACGATTTCATTACAATCGCGGAGCAATTACAATATTTTACACCTCCAAGGAACTGTAGGTCTAGGGAAAAATAAATTTAGTTTTCCCACAATTAAACTTCGCCGCTAATTGCTGTTGTGATAACTTTTAATACTATCTTCTAACGACAGCACTTTGCATTTCGGACGTTTCCCAACAAACTGAAATGAATTTCCTTTGTTGCAAGAAATGTATGTTGTTTCGGACCAGAAATCGATGCCCGCGGTCGCGTTACACACGTGGTCGTTTAATACAGGTAACTTAAACTTACGAAGGCTCCATGGATGAAGAATTACGTGCCAGAAATTTTTGCCCGTTTTGACAGGTGCCCATCGAATGCAGGTGGTTTTCCTGTGTCAGGTTTTACAGGTGCCCATCGAATGCAGGTGCCAGTTTCCGCTGTATATGAATTTATTTGTTTCACAAGAAATGTGTCATTTATAATTGTTGAAACTATATGAGAAAACTTTCAAATCATAGAAATGATGTTAAAAAAGCTTAAATGAATTATTAGTATTACAATCAATTGTTCGTAACTTTATTTTGTTTCAGTTTGATTACATTTTACTATAATCAGTAATTTACTACTTTAATATGATCAAGTGACCCACCAACTGATATAAAACCAATATTCTTTGATAAACATTTATATTAGTTAATGATGGTAAAGTGTCTTACAAGTAGTTTTTGGTGGTGTAAATAAATGTATTAGTAGTCACGTTTCTCTGCAGCCAATATACTATCTATTAAAAGAAAACATTTCCATCGATGTTTTTATATATCTGCACTATCACTGCAATAATATTGCTATATTTTATTAAATTTTTTCTCGCATGTATCTGTCCGTTTGCACATGCCATTATTTCTCTGCGGCCTCTGCTATAATTAAAAAGATTAACTCTACTTCTTAGTAGTTTTTTAATTTTTTTAAATAACTTTGGTACATACTTTAGTTTAACGAAATTTTTCTATTTATCCATTGATTTTGTTTGTTTGACATTTTCTAATATTTCAATCCATTTATTCAATAACCGTTTCGATAATCATTTAAATTAAACATTTTAATTATTATCATTATTATTATTCTTGTTTGTGTGTTTGTATATTAATTGTTCTTTGTCTTATTCAATTCCTATACATTTTAAATATGTTATATTTCATACCGACAGAGATACAAGATTTATAAAACGTAAACGTCTGACGTACACGTTTTCGCGTCTAAAACTTCGGCCTCAACCTAGCTAATAATTGGATTTTAAGAAAGGACATGCCTAGCCTGTCGAAAAATTTTAATTAATTGATAAATACTCTGTACAATAGTGTTATTATAAAAATATCCAAATTAAAATGTTATTTAATTAATATGTATTAAATAGAAATAAATCCGAAAAAATTAATTATCTTCACAATAAACTTTATTTTAAAATCACTGTAAAATACTTAAAAAGTGTCAATGAAATTCTTATTGGCATATTTTCAATTCAAATTTTTTAAACAAAATTTATATTATACTCAAGATGTGGAATACGTCTGTTTTATCTTCGAATGTTTTGGCGTACTCCTCGAATGATGCAAAATTCTTTCTCTTTCTCACTAATTTTCACCAATCAGCATTTTGTATTTTTCCACATGAACAGGGAAAAAAAAGGATTTTTCGAGGGGTTGAGAATTTCCAGGGTGACTAAGATTTTTAAGAAATAAGGGAAAACAAAAGAAAGTCGATCTTTCGTTGAAGAAAGTGACTTTTACCAGTTTCCTTCGTTTAAAAACTATACATTTCCCACCTACATTAAAGAATATTTTTTTTGTCAAAAATTTTACTTTTTCAATTAAATTTTTTATTTACCACAGGGGTGATTCGCATCTCACAGGAATTAGCATTGTAAATAATAAATCCACGTTAAAAGATCGATATCGAATTAAAATTTAATATGTAAATAACTAATAAAAAAATTTAAACTTTGTCTTTGGTTTTAATTTCGTTTCTCTAATCTACAGAGTAAGTTACTCTTCATTTAATAATTTTGATTCCACTTATAACAATACAAAGTTTTAATTATAAGAGATATTCTAATTTTAAAATATCTAAGATAATTACAGAATAAAACCAGTCATATTTTTGCTTTCAATTTCTGTCGATTGATACCAACTATTTTTTCTATCTTCCAGCACCTACAAGCACACACAAACATCGATTATTTAACGTAATTTGCATAAAAAGAGTCGTATTTTAATTTCGAATAACCTTAAATGTGATTGAAAATATTATTTTTATATATATTTTTATGTTATAAAGATTACTTTGTGTAGTTATATTTATGTACAGGTAATTCAGTTTCTGTTATTCGATGGAGAAAGTGTTTTAGGTAAACACTTTTTTTATTCACACTAAGTAAATTAATTTTTCAAACGTTAGTACTTTTATTAAAATTTTTTGTATGCATATAATTATAATGCAATCCAACATATTTTATATAAATTATAGAATAAAAAAATTAAATTATATAGGTATCTCCAGTAATCTATGTACGGTATGACATTATTGCAATGTTCATACAATTTGTTTAACTTAATACTCATGGATGAGAATTGAAACGAATTAACAATAATACAGAATAACAGAATTTTATAGTATTTTTTTTTAAATGTTAAGTTAATGGCGAGCGAAATTGGTGCACGTATTGCTGTAATGTACATTTTGAATTATTGCAAGCAGCTGTATCTATATGAATATGCACACTCTTGAATTAATCCGAAGATTCTACAGTGTAAGTTTCTTGTAAAATATCAAATATTTTATGAAACACAAAACCTAAATATACTGTGTTAAGAGTGATAACCTTGAAATAACGTTAATGAAAACACTAAATAATAAATAGTAGATAATATATATTCGGTATAAAAGTATACTATTTTGAGTGAATCTCCACTGAATATTTCAATTAAATTTAAATAGCTAACACCTAAAAAATTAATAGTTTTAAATTATACAAAGTTGTGTTGTATGTCACTATAACCACATCTGAACACGAAACAATATACGTTGAAAAATTACTAGAAATTGAATACTGGCATCATCGACAATAAATCTAGAATTCTAGATTTTAATGACTTTCTACCACAACGATCGATAGGATGAGACAACACAGCACATGGGCATTCTGCCGTCATTTAAAATTTTTTACAAGAAACCGACATTTAAGTGTGGGACACGTAAAGAAGTTTTGAAAAACACAAGTGGCCAGCCCATTAGACATGTAATAACTCGCGAATATTATTTGGGAATTGTCATCTTATGCTAGATCAAAGGCTTATTAAATTAATTAAAAATAATGATATTTTGAGTTTGAAAAATATTACTTTGTTCATGATCAAAACTAAAAAATTGCACTAAGAAATAATTAGCTGTTATCATTGTATAGGTTGTCTCTTAATAGAGTAGGGTCAATACTTACAAGACCGTGTAAATTAATCCCCTCCCGTGTTGTCTATTTGTAAACAGGAGGGAGAACAATGGGAGCGTCGCTTTGTTTATTAGCTTAACGGGTGGTTGGGCGAAAGACCGTTTACCATATGTAAACTAAGAAGAAAAATAAAAAAAAATGTAAATGAACATGTTAATATTTAAATTTATTAACATGTAAAAGTGTTAATATTTTTAATGATTTTTTCTGAAAATCTTTCAATATAATTATAATTAAATATAACTTTGAAAAGAAACGTACATAAAAAAACATAAAATACTCTTTACTTTTGAAATATTTAGAAAATGTACTTTGTCAAATTGCTCCCAACGAGCGGCTAGTGGATAAAATCTCTGAAAGCGTTATACAATATTTTGCTGCGTATCAAATACCCGTTTATTTTTGATACAGGGTCTACAGGCTAACAATCAGGAGATAAAAAGAGACGAAAGCGACATTGACTTGTTTCGCAAGAGAGATAGTTTACATTAAATCGCGCGTTGTTATAAATACCTAGAGTCGAATGAGAACCACACAAGGAAAGTTGGAACACACCAAGAACAGTTATTGATGAAAAATTAAAAAAATCCGGATCAGAGGCAAAAAATTTCACGGAATGAAGGAGATAATAATCTGTTATCAAAGGAACGGTGTTCAGAATAAGGAGTCTAAGATTTCAAGAAAGTTGATAGTAGATCGGTTGTTCAGCGGGCTACTCTGGCACGAAAAATATGACTGCATTGTTGGCTTACATACAGTTGGTTGCATGGAATTTCCGGGTGTTTTTCTATGTCTAAATCAAGTAAATACCTTTTTATTATATAATGTCATCTTCGATGACATCTCCCTTGGGTTCATTGCTTTTCTGTTACATTGNATTAAATAATGTTACCTATGGTGGGTAAAATGGCGGCTCGTCTCTGATTCCAACAAACAGACGAAAGGAAACAGTGGGGCGCACGTTAAAACCTAACCTATCCTATTCTAATAATTTGGTTGGTTATAATTATGGTAATTTATTAAAATAGGTTAGGTTAGGACAGAACGTGCGTCCCCACTGTTTCCTTTCTTCTGTTTGCTGAAATTAGAGATGAGCTGCCATTTTACTCATTATAGGTAACATTAACTTCACAATTACATCATGCGATCTCCAGAAAAAGTATGATAACTTTATTATTTTTCGTCTCCGGTCCAAAAGTAGGGTATCGTTGAAGTCGTCTCGGTCCCCTCAGTTCAGATAGATACTCAAAGTCACGAAATTCCATAGGTGGTTATCTATATAATAATTTCCCTAATTGTATTAATATTTTAAATCGTTTGATTTTTTGTATGGTTTTTAATTGGTTGATAATTGATTCTATAAACTAATTTGTCGATTGTTTGATGGTATTAACTTGATTCTTTAGATATCGAAAATGAAATAAAAAACATTATGTTAATTTAAGCGTACAGAAACGTTGCTGTTGTTTCAGCAAAAATCTTATTTTCACTTTACCGAATGCCTAGTAGGCAATTTGCAGATTACCTAGATAATTTGAGAAATAAAACAATGTTAGCAACCATAACGGATCACGCCAGTTAATCTGCAGATTAGCTAGGTAATCTGAAGATTAACGAGTTTCCGAGCTTTAGCGGTAACATATATACTTTCCGCTGTCCAGCGCCACGCTATGGAGAGTTTAGGCGAGTAAGTTGAGTTTACTATCGTCTGTACAGTATGTAAATTAGGTACCGTAAGTTTAATACAGCACTAATTTTATACATTTCTTGTGAAAGAAACATTTCTTATTCAACGGCCATAAAAATTATTTATATTAATGAAGTCTCCAAAGTTCAGCGAATTTTTCGCAGAAAAATAAATTATCAGAAATCGCGGCCGCCGTTTGGTGCTCTGCTCCGCGACGAAAACAAGCGTAAGCAACGGCGTAGTCGAACGGTGCACACTCGATAAGTAATCCTACAATTTTTTGTTTATAGCATAGTTTATACGAATTATTCCCCAAAAAATTATACCTGTTTTGTAAATGTTAAGTCGAATTAGTCTAGAATCGGTTAATTTTTATAGCAGAAAACCTTAAACTTCAGTCCGTAAACTTCACATGTGTGGGGCTGTGATTGGCTCATGTATTTAAGGATTCCTACAACGTAAAATTCTTATAAAATAGAACGTATCTAAGCGTTATAGGGGGTCTACTGTATGCTACTAAGTGCAACAATTGTTTGAAATTTATTTGCAAAGTGCATAGTTCCACAACAATGCTATGTAATAATTGTAAAAACTGAACTACATAACTCGTTTAAATGTTCCTGAGTCTTAAAAGTAAAAGTGATTATATTACCTGTGGTTGTTTAACAAATCTCAGTTAGACGCTATAAGAGTTACTTTTTTATGAGATTAGTTTCTTAAGAATAAGGGAAAAAAATTTTCGTAAAAAACTTACAAAACGGTAAAATTTTGTATTGTAAGAAAAGCAAACACAAAAAGTTGTAATATTTTTGTGATCTCTTGTAATAATTAAGTAAACAATATATATAAATAAAAAAAAGTTGATTACAGTCGACCCCTCCTATAAGATCATAGATAAGTTCCATTCTTTAGGAATCCCATTTCTTACGAGTCCTTCCAATCACAGCCCGACATGTGTGAAGTTTACGGACTACGGCTGATTGAAAGGTTTTCTTCCATAAAATTAATCGATTCTAGACTAATCCGACTTAACATTTCCAAAATACGTATATTTTTTTGAAAATAATTCGTATAAACTACGCTATAAACAAAAAATTGTAGGATTACTTACAGAGTGTGCACCATTCGACATCGCCATTGCTAAAGCTTGTTTTCGTCGCGGAACAGCTCAGCAAATAGCGGCCGATTTCTAATAACTTATTTTTCTGCGAAAACTTCGTTGAGCTTTGGAGACATCATTAATATAAATAATTTTAATCCTCGTTGAATAAGAAATGTTTCTTTCACAAGAAATGTATAAAATTACAGTACTGTATTAGACTTACGGTACCTAATTTACATACTGTACAGACGATAGTTAGCGTAAAATCTCTGTAGCGTGGCGCTACGCGGCGGAAAAAATATATATTTATAATAAAGTTACAATAAATTAAGTTAATATTTAATTATATATACAGTACGTAATTTATATATAATTAATATATAATTATATGTACAGTACCTAATTTATATATAATTTACATATAATACTGTCCAGACGATAGAAATCTTTTCATAGAGTGGCGCTAGACAGCAGAAAATAGTTCGGCTGCCCGATGGCGTTTTACGTAATTATAGAAGTTTTTTACCTTTTCTTACAGATACTGTCGCAATTTTTTGCAGTTTTATAGGAATCGTAATTATAGGAACCGTAATTATAGGGGGTCTACTGTATACTAAATGAGTGTTTTATTTAGCATTTATGAACTTTTAAACTGTCACGTTGTTGAAACTTGCTCTTTAGAGGCAAATTTTGCTTGGGAACCGCGTGGCCATCACGACACCAGTTACGTTTGTAAAATTCACGANACCGTAATTATAGGGGGTCTACTGTATACTAAATGAGTGTTTTATTTAGCATTTATGAACTTTTAAACTGTCACGTTGTTGAAACTTGCTCTTTAGAGGCAAATTTTGCTTGGGAACCGCGTGGCCATCACGACACCAGTTACGTTTGTAAAATTCACGATACCAGTTAA